CATGTATTCTGTATTCTGTAATGGAATACATTTTAAAAGTAACCTTCCCAACACTGGCTATAGCTAATACCTATAATAATAGCTTTATTTGCTAGTTGTATACGTACACAGGAAATCTTATGTAGAGCTTAGAGTCAAAGCTAAAGTCACACGTCACACAAAAAAAAAAATAAAACAATGTACTAAAATACAGTAAGAATTATAATATTATTTCAAATATAAGGAACGGTAATTTCCATATTGCACTTAAATGACTATAGTATAAAAATACTGCACGTCATTGGAATATATATAAATGGGGTGGCGTTGGTGTGTATTTAGTTACTATTTTGCTTTTGCCATCAGACTTTCCTGTGGCAAGAAATACGCTGGTGTGTGTGTGTGTGTGTTTGTCCCCTCTGCTGCGTCTCTGGTTGCAGTTAGTTCTTGTACTGAAAATGTAAGTAGTCCAACTGCACAGTACTAACAGCAGCTTTACTGGGGACAAATTACATTGAATGTCTTTTATAATGTGTTTTAATTAATTTAAGTACATTTTAAATTTTTAGTAACACTAGAAACAAATTATCCAAATTTCGATGCGTTTAAATCTGTCTCACTTTGAAACAATCAGCAAAGTTTTCACAGTAAAATACGTCGTTGTTTGTTGAAGTTATCGTTGTGCACTATAATGTGCCACTGCCCCAGTGGGAACCAAACATCTGTCCCTTTGATTCTTATGACTTACTAAACAGCTAAAAGACTAGTTTTACCAGATGGAGGCCGTAATGCCAGGAAACACAGTCGGTAGATTTGTTTGATCGTCACAAATGGCTCCAAAATAAATTATGTAAGAGCTGAATATTCACATAATCTCCTCAGCTCAGCCTCCTCTCAGCGCTACTCATGCATCATGTTTCCTTTTGTTCCAGCGCACTATTTCCTCTATGTTTCAAGTGGTGGAGAGGCTGGTAGATAAAAAAGATGTGTGTGGATTTTCCCATCACTCTCACGACACTGTACGAACATGCACACGCACCGTGCACGCTCGCAGATTGTAGTCCCGCTGCAGCACGTGTTGCCCATGACTCACGACACGGCCTTGTAAAGGGTTTAACACAAGGTAGGAGGGGATAAGCGGCCCCCCTGATGTTTAAGCTGCCTCTGCTTTGAAGCAGATGCGAGCCTGCGTGTTCATTCTCTCCCCCGTCCTCCTTGCTCCTTTTGGTTTGCGTGCGTGTGTAATCGTGTGTTGGTGTGCTAAACCAAACCTCACGACTATTAATGCATCCTGATCATCCCACTGAAATTGAAGCTGATGTGTTGGGAGGGAAACGGGGTAGGAATTAGCTCCCTCGATCCAACGCTGGTTGCCTTTTACCATCTGAGGTATCCCGACTTTTATCTTCATGCATTTTTAGCTCGATGCCAGCTCACAACAGCTCGTGATTGTGTAGATCAGTGCCTGCTGTTCTCTAAAATCCAAATACCGACGTTCATTTAATGCAAGTGATGATTAATTTCATACTTGTTGCAAAGCCCTGATACGCATGAATTGAAACTCTTGCCTGCAAATGTTTGAAGTTAACTGAAGTTGATGATGCAGGAATTTCAATTCATCTCATTCAGTTTTCAGACATGAATGATGAAGCTGAAAGTGAATGTACTGCAAGTCAAAGTATCAGGGTTATCGCCATCAAACTCTCAGACGCACAAGTCTCCTCTATGCTAAGTTTTATGTGTTTGCTTTGCTTGTAGACCATTGTTCGAGGGAACCGGCCACCCAAAGATGCATCCATTAACGGCCTGCTGGAGGAGTTCGACAACATTTCGGTAACACGTTCCAACTCCCTGCGTAAAGAGAGCCCGCCAGGCCCCCATCAGGCTGGAGGCATCTCCAAACCCTCGGGCAGTGGCCACCTCACTGCTCCAGAGGAGAACGGATTCAACCACTACTACTCCCGCTACTCGTGTGACCTGGACACGTCCAGCAGGGACTTTTCTCTGGACCCCGGCAAGCCAAGCTTCTCCATAGATGGGGATTGGGCACTTGGCAGGCACTATCGATTCACCAAGCAGAATGGCCACTCACACCCCATACGCAGCCCCTTTTACCCTGATGCCATGCCTCAGAAATCAGACTATGGCAAACTTCCGCCTGACTATCACACCTATCTGGAGAGCAAAGGGCGATCGGCGGATGAGGTGGCCTCTACGGTGGGTAGCGGAGTAGGTTCCAGCGGCTACTACCGGGCATCGGTGGGGGGTTCATCCAGCCAGGACTACCGGGACACATCAGTTGGCACACCGTCTCGTGCATCGCTACACAGCGAGCAGATTAACTACCCCGACAGTGAGTGGAGTTACGGCGGCATGAGGGACGAATATGAGAAGCGACCCAAGAGTTCCTACGTGACCCAGACCAGCCCCACGCCTGCCATCAGGCAGCGATCTCGGTCAGGCTCTGGGCTGCAGGAGCCAAATGTCCCCTATGCCGCCAGTGGGACTTTCAGGAGCCCGCCACAGGCCCACCCGTACAGCTCCTACACCTACCCTCGCCTTTCGGAGAGTCTCGCCAACTCACAGACTTTAACCAAGGTAACTAAAGCAAAATGGAAATGGCATGTTTCAACACACTATACCCTCCCAACAAGTCTGTACAAACGTATCAGAGAGAATTTTATACATGTACACTCATGTGACACACACTTTAACCTCCCAGTCACCTTTTCACATTATTTTCTTCTTCAGTGTTTCGAGTTCTCTCTGATCCTCAACCATCAGTTTTCTTTTTCTGCTCTTCCTGCCTGATAGATGGTTTCAGCTTTAATCTACTCTTCCCTGAAGGAGGAAGGTGATGTCACATAAAGAACTGCACCTCTGGCGTGTCCACTAGCTCAATACACAGTTCAATTAATGCTCAGACTGACCAAAAAGCTCTGACTTACACAAAATAAAAAGTTAGAGGAAGGAAAAAAGTGGAAAAATATACTAGATGAAATCAGTGTATATTTATGTAATTATTTTTAATTTAATTAATAAATAGGAGCGAGTGTTCTTGGCGTTCAAATTTATATTGAAGCGTTGCAGCACACAAACTGCAATCACTGCTAAATATAGCGTTTTAACAGAAACATAATTGGCACAAAGGTATAAAAATATACTATGATTGCAATTATTAAAAGGATAAGAGAATTACAAATGCAAATATGCATAACGGTGGTCAAGACGAACTCAGCAGAAATTAAATATCTAATAGCAAAGCTTTAGAGATTAGAAATGAGTACATCAGAGGGACAGCTCAGGTTGAGCAGTTTGGGGACAAAGTTAGAGCAGCAAGGCTGAGATGGTTTGGACGTGAGGAGAGGAGGATGTTAGACTTTTCAGAAGGAAAAGAGGAAGATCACGAAGAAGGTTCATGGATGTCGTGAACGGGGACGTACAGAGCGTTGGTGTGAAATGGAGGCAGATGGTCTGCTGT